TTCTTAAATCTACTAAAATCTTCAAAAAGCTTAATCATTTTCGTTCCTTTCTTGTCTTTAGCTTTGAGGAATTTAAATCCATCATGATGTCCATGAAGAGTTTTGTAATTTGTCTGATATATTAAGGGGAACTTTAAAATATTTTAATTATTAAGAAGAATGTATACCCACTATGCTTCCCACCAACGACGCCCATGCTGAAGCGGTAAAACTGTAAAATTTTTAATTCTTTAACTGAGCCACCATATAGTAGAAAACAAGTAACACTAGTTAAAATCGTTATTTATTTTATTTTTCTGTAATTTAATTAAAAAAAGTAATAAGAACAATTAAATATTTTTAAAATTAATAAAGGGAAAGAAGGAAAAAAAAGTTTCTGATTTGTTCTTTATATGTTGAAAGACTAGTTGCAAACGATTTGTCAGTTGAAGATTATTTAGTTAAGTGGAATGATTAATTAACAATGATTGAATTAATTGTTATGCTGGGTTGAATATAAACTGTGACTGATCTCCCTACAAATCTTGTTATAATGATATCTTTTAAGTACTATTTTGTTAGTATATATATATTTCTGAAATTATGGCGGAAGCGGATTTCATAACGTGAAACGACTTATCGTAGAAAAATTAACTTATTTTTTACTATGTATTTGTACAGCTGTTCTTTTATCGTCTGCTGTTTAAATCAGTCATAGGTGGGGAGATTTATTATTCTAAATGCATAGCCTCTGCGTCAATATGTATTCTGTTATCCAATTTACACGCGAAATCTTCTTTAACTTCATATTTCATGGAAATCATCATCAATAATAAATATTGAATGACATCTGTGGGAGTCTATTTAATCTATTCAATAGAATTAAATTTGTTTCACTTTTAGATTTGTTAATTCAGGAATGGTACGTCATTCCTTCTAGCTGTTGGTCATATTCACATGTTTAAGCAAAAAGAATGAAAGATAAAAAAACGTGTCGCACTTATTTTCTCTGCTTCACTTTTAAGTTCACCTTAACCTTATTTTATTTTGCTTTTAGAATTTTAATTTTTTATTCATAGTACTAATTTTTAGCAATAAATGTCTACACAGTAGAACTTTACTTATGAGAATTAATTGCTACCTTTGTCAGAAATTCCGATTGTAATTGACGTACAGTGCGTAAAATAAAAACTGTAACACCTTAATAACTTTGGATCTTGGAGTTATTGGAATGTTACGTTCTAAGATGCCTTGTTCGAAGGCTAACCCTAAGCATGTTAACTAATTTGTGCAGACGATATTTTAAGCTACAAAATCATTAAAAAAATTCTTACTTTCTTCAAAAGAATATACCTTTTTTTGATTACTTTCCCGCGTTGTATTGAGAGTCTTACTTAGGAGATAAACAAATTGCAAGCACGCATCTGAATCATCTTTTTTATGTTATCTAACCGCGATTCGTATTCTCGTAAAGTATGAATCTCACATTCACTTTATAGCATTTTTTATATAAGACGGAGTTTATATCTGTGTTATGTATATTTTCACTCATCTATTGTTTCGCACTTTCTATTTCAAATATATTCATTTGAGCTATTCTACAGGGGGTGGACAAAATAATGGGAACACATCTATACTAACTCATTTTTTCATACTTTTCAAGAAACACTTAGAGAATTATTCTAAAACTTTAGAAGTGCTTAGGTCATGCGATTTCTCATACATATCAAGAAAGTTTAAAGCTTTTAGAAGTTTGAGGGACTTGCAATAAATTACTAACGAAAATAATTTTTTTCGAACACCCTATGCCTAAAAATAGGCTTGTAACTCATGTCAATTGCGTTGATTACCATATGAAATAGCTGCACAAAATTTCGTAAACCTAGCGTAAATATTCATAAAACTATGGACATTTTTATAGAAACTATTTTTTTTTACTTACGTTTTCTGCAGAAATATTCAATAAAATTAAATTAAATTTCAAGAGTAATTTTTAATTAATAATAAAATTATCATTTTAAAATTTAAAAAAAATATCTTAAAAATTGCTCACGATATGAGTATTTGAAGTAATATTTTAATACTTTTGTAATAGTAATAAATGCTTGAACCATGACTGGAACAGAAATACATTGAAGTCTAAACATTTTTTTGAAGTAGAAATAGTGTCTAGCATTAAATATGCATAAAATTTTCGATAAACGATCTCAATAATTTTTGTTACTAAGGACAATGTTTTTAATAGAAATACATAAAATTCCCAACAATTCCTTCAACAGCATTGCCTTCCCGCTTTAATGTAATATTTATCATAAATCCTCTTCCACAATTGATTGTGCCCGTGTCGAAGAATATCGGTGACAAAATGTACTCGTATACTAGACTCTAGTCTGCGAAAATTTAGCAAATCACGCTGCTTACGTTGCATAACTTCCTAGTTATTGTTTTGACTTTTATTGTAGTAATTTAATTTTAGCACAAAAGTGCTGACGTAAAATATCTTCAATGGTAGACATATCATGGGTTGGAATTCCCTTGCCTTTTGGCTAACTGTGGAAGGTTTAATGGTTTTCCTCTTCATGTAACGTAAATACGGGTTAGTTCCATCAAAAAGTCCTCCACGATGGTTAGTTCATCCCGATGCTAGATCAAGGAGTTCTCTTGTTTTCTGGGTTTGGTTCAAATTTGCCAGGCTTCAGAGTTGAACAATGATAGTCGTAAACTCAGAATTGGGTCGGCTGTTCAACTGCAGTTATAAAATAAAGTCTAATTTTAGAATTAAATTCAAATTAAAGACGTTGTTTTGTATATTAAAAATTACGCTTCAATTAATTTTTTTAAAATTTTGAGTAGAATAATTTTTTGAAATACTATTTTGTGGTAATTATTCATGACCTTTAAAACTCCAATCCAATTTCTTACCGGAACTTCAACTTCTATTTCAAATTTTAAACTTTTCCAAGCTTCATTTTTTTCCAAAATTTTTTGCTACATTTTTTGTGTGGAAAATATGTTGATTTTAGTGTTTTACATTAAGAATTGCTCATTTCCGTACTTCCCCTTTTTACAAAAATAAACGAATCTCAACGCCTCCCCTACAAATACGTACATAATATTTAAATAGCCAGTGCATGCTTTGTTTCATACTTTAATTTGTTTCTTAAAAAATATACTTTGCTACCTTACTCAGTTGCTTGTGGTATAAACAATTCTCAATATTGCCACTAAGAAGGCCATTGACAAACCTCGCCTTTGAGTACAGAACCATATGATGGGTCAAGTTTAAGAGTTATTTATTTTTTTTACTTTGTATGTAATACTTGTTGTGTTAAATCGTTCAAGGTTAGGGGGTAGTTGAAGTTGATAATCTTTATGTGCACAGAAACTTGTTGTTGTAGAAGGTATTACTTTCGCCATAAAAAAAAATTGTAAGTGATATAACTAGTTTTTAGCGTTTTTTCCCACCCGCTGTAAATGAACCTCTGACATTGCGATTGGAAAAGTGCATTAATTACGACTTTTTATTTATTTTTTATTTTACTGTCATTTTGAAAGAAGTGAACAAATCAATCTTTCAAGAGAGAACGATTCTGTGAAATCTGAAAAACATAGTTGATTTTTTATTTTCTCCGTGACAAATAAAAAAGAAAACATAGTTTATTTTTTACGAAAAATTAGAAAGGAAACTTAATTTTTATTTTTCCGCGACAAATTAAAAAGAAAACATAGTTAATTTTTATTTTTCCGCAACAAATCACAAAGAAAACATAGTTAATATTCATTTTCCCGCGATAAATCAATCACAAAGAAAACATAGCTAATTCTTATTTTTCCGCGACAAATCACAAAGAAAACATAGTTATTTTTATTGTCCTTGAATTATGGATTTGGAGAGAGAGGGAGGCTGAATAAATTACCAAATTTGTCCAATGAATTCCTGTTTTATTAAAATCACATATTTTATAGCTCTAATTTTATTTGATTCAAAAACAATATAATTGTTTTTATAGCTTACTGGATAAAATTCCAATTTTTTAAAAATCATTTTTCCCTGAAAAAATGAAAACAAACATTAGATTTGTAGACAAATTCAAACATTTTGAATTTGTCCTTTTTTCATATGAAGTCTTCTTTTTGTGAGTAAGCAAATAATGACTTAAATATTAACTAACCTCCTTAGACACAGTGTCCAATATATTAGATATTATTTGATATAATTTTATCATTAAAATATACTTTTTTTTTCAGTTTTTATGTCATTAAAAGTTATTACGTACGTAAAACTGCAATTGATTTTATTTTAATTGATCGGAATTTAACAGGGCAAAATTATGAGAAAGGTTTGAAGTTCGATTCAAATTGGTTTTACTCTCGTTGATTAGAATTTTCAATTAAAAAGAAAAATTATGAGATAGGTTAAAAGTTTGATTCAAATAAACTTTTGGATACTTTTATGGCAAATAAATATCTTTTTATTTAAGTCAAGTGTATTTTATTTCTCCATCAAAATATGAAGAAATACTCCATTAAATTATCCTACGATATGTAAAAAAAATCTTTAAACTTTGTCATTTTTAAACTTTCTTAACCTTAACTTAAACTTTCTTAACATTCTTAAACTTTGTCATCCTTAAATTTGTCATTTTTTTGCAATTATTAAAAAATGATAATTAAGTTTAATTGGTACTTTTTTAAAATAATCATTTTATCGCATTTTTTATTTTATAATGTTTTTTGAATACATAGTTTTTAAGTAAAAATCGAATTTTTTGTCATTTTAAAGCTTTGGTTTCAGGATGTTAAGTGATACAGATAGGTGCTTTTCTTATAAATATCATTTTTTGTGACTGGAGTTAAATATTTTTTTTGTTGGTTAAATATTTGTTTTTTGTAACGCACCGCGTGCATGCTTTTTGCCTTCATTTTTGACAAGGATTTTAACAAAAATACATCATAAGGATAGTCATATCCAAAACTGCTTCCACATTTGAAAATACAATACAAGCTTATTTATTTTCTAGACTTGTAAAGCCTTCCTGCCAGACATGAAAGAAGACAACCATGGCCACATAGTATCAATTGCCAGCATGGCTGGACTAACTGGTGTCGTCAAACTGACCGATTACTGTGCAAGTAAATTTGCTGCTGTTGGATTTGAAGAATCCTTGCGTTTAGAACTCTTTCAAGAGGGATACACTGGTATACATTCTACAGTAGTTTGTCCATATTTCATCAATACTGGAATGTTTGATGGTGCCAAACCAGGGTAAATATTACTTAATTAACTTAATTATTCACTTTTACAGACAAAATGTCAAATAATCCGTAGCTTAGAGGAAATTTTATTAAGTTCCACATCGTTGCTGGACAATTGTGAAGCATGTAATTCTTCGAATTTCCGGATTGATAGTCTGGGAAATTTTTATTTTTAGACGTAACTTAAAATGCTCGTTTAAGTGCCCCCTTCTTGAATTTGTGGCTAAGTTTTTGATTTTTGTTTTCTGGATATTTTTTCGTTTTCCAGCTTTCAAAGAAAGGTGGAAAACTTCGCTTTCGAAGATTAAGAGAAATAACGTTTGATAATTATTAGAATTTCTATGATTTTTTTAAAAATGTTTAAAACAATAAAATTATGCAATTAATAATTTTGAGTTAATGATGATTTAATACTGTGCATTTTTTTATTGTTTTTTTTTTTTTATATTTACTTTTTTTCTTATTTAAATTGATAAAAATCAATTTCGATGCTGTTGAAAAATTCTTTTAACCTTAATTAGACAAACGCGTTTTTATTCAAAACGTAAAAATAGAAAAGTATATAAAACTAAATTTCCTTTGAAAAAAAAACTGATTGCAGAATTATGTTGCAACGATTTTGTCCTTCTCAATAGAAATACCAGAATAACGTCAGCTATCTCTCATAATTAGCTAGCGATTTTACATGTTTTGAAAAATATTGTTTAGTAACGTAAAAAACCAGCACCAGCATTATTTGTGAAAAATAAGTAAAGATGACATATTAAAAGTATGTACATATTTTAAACATCAAAACTGTTTTTTTTTTTTATATATATATAGTTTTTCGTGATCAAGGTTATCTCAAAATCTGTGGTACATAAGGTTAATCCATAGTGTTAAAATTCTGGTTCTTCATTTAACGTTGAAAAAGCGCATTTTGTGCCATTTCTTAGACGTGCTTATCAAGCTATAGTCAGGGACCGATCTAGAAATTTGGGGACTGTAGGCACTAGACTATCGGGGGCGCCGATGAATCTGATCTTAAATTAATTAAAAACCCTCTTTTAAAAAGTTGATCTTAAATATATATAAGTAAGAAGAGATATATAAGTGAATAATTGTAATTTCAAAATAGACAGATATTAATTATCTATATGTATATCCATATAAAATAAAACAGTTGAATTTTAATTTGATTCATACAAATAGAGTATAAAAAATTCATAATGTGACCATAAACAAATAAATTTAATGCATAATTTTAACAGTGAAAAAGTCACGATAGAAATTATATTTCAATAAAAACGAATCAGTAATCAGCATTTCCAGGAAGCTAAATAGAAAACTTGATTTTTAGAGTAAAAAGTTACCAAAAACTTGGAAACCAATATGAAATATATTTATATAAATTGTTAATTAAAAAATATGCAATATTTTATAAGTAGTGTTACTAGAGGTAAATCATAGAACTGTCCAATCAATAATAAACAGTCAATGGAGCCATTTTGGGGAAGCTTCTCGGGAATAGGAATTATGGACTTCAATTTTACTGTAAATTGCATTGGCAGTCGGAGAATACACCAGCCATTTTCTTTCAATTACTTCTCCATTTCTCTTTTTGTGTGAAAAGTTGTTTTCTGTGCATGTCCGAAACTTATCACCAAACAAACGGCCAGAATATTTTAAACCAGCAATGTTTTGGTTAGGTGGACTGCGAACAAAATGTTCCTTCAGTTTGTTTGTTACTGTGGTCCAAGTTTCAGGATCACTATCGAACACCTCAAGTAAATCTAGAGAAGACGAGGTGGCAGGATTTGAAATGACCTTTGAATTGAGGGTTAAAGAGGTTGGCAATCTTTCGTCTGAAGATACAGTTGCTGTTTCATTTTCATTTAAAATTTGATCTGGTTTATTTAAATGAAGATTTGAAGAGCTTGCCACACAGATTACTTTCAAATTATCTCTAAAACTATTTTCTTCAACACAAGTTTTGTCTATTAAGGCAGATTGTTCCTCAATGTTGGCGAGTTTTGGAGCAGAAAAAAAAATTATTTAACAGTTTCATTGTCTTCAAAAGACTTACATTTCTCATTTCTTTCTCTTCTCTCTTTCTTTTTTTAAAACTACCAGAAGTATATTTTCGGGATGACATTGTTGCTATAAAATAAATTTAAAATCGATTACTTCAACGTGCGATAAATATAATCCAATTCAAAGCAAACACAAATAATGAATGAGTGTGTTACACTTTATATTACCAATAGGGTCATTTCCCACTTTTTCAACTTTTTAATCTGTTTTTTTGTATTGTTACTTACAATTTTACATACTAGATCAGTTGAAACTGTTTAGAAGCCGTACCACAAGTAGGCAACAAAAATACTAATTCATTTTCTTTCACTTCAGTTTACTTTGAACATTAGGAAGAAATATTAATTTAATTAATATATTTTATGGAGCATTTTACATGTAATGAATGTATGTGATTTTGATTGGTAAAAGCTGAAAGTGCATGAGCTATGTATGAAAACACACTTTTAAATATTTCAGATTTTCGTTCTCTTAGGTTTTAGCTGTGAGGGAGACATATATACATAAACACAGAAAAAAACTAGGTTTGTGGGGGCCTTAGGCCCAGGCCTCTCGGGCCTAATGGTTAATCAGGCCCTGGCTATAGTAATTTTTTTTTAAACGCACATTTCAAGCCATGTCTAATTTCATAAACTCGCATTTTAAGCTATGTCTAAAATAAGAGTGCTATATGCCAATTACATCAATTTATTTTATAAATGATTTCAAAGTAAATTTGGAACATTGAAAATTGTTGGAATAGCATCAAGTCTTAATTTATTGTTACCACCTTTTCTATTTATTTCTAGTTGAGATTCTTCAAAATAAACCTAGAGAAATATTTAGAATACTTTTTTATTTTCATACTTAAATCACATTCAAAAAATTTAGAGTTTACTATTTTTAAACATATACCCACAGAAAATTTTCTAACACAAAAACTAATTATTTCAACAATTTAACACAAGAATTTCAAAGGAAAAAAATACATTGATAGATCCAAAAATATATGAAAGATCGCATATTAAAGAGAGTTTTTATGATAAACGTAAACAAACCGTTTAAACTTTAGGCAGTATATTACCATAAATAACTAAAAACAAACTTAAATGAACCAGAATTAAGAAACTATCTATTTGATCTTAGTGGAATAAAAAGGAATACAATAAAAAATAGCTTAATATTTGTTTTAACAACAAAAAAATACTTAAGAGTGAATACATAGCTTGGCGATTCTGATCTAAGTTTGGCGAATACTTATTCAGCCAATCTCTTGCCTTTATTTATAGGTTTTATTACAGATAAACACTTAAAATTGTTAAATAAATTAATAAATATTATTTAAAAGTCACACTTTAAATAAATATATATTTAATAAATGCAATTTTCAATGAAAATTCCTATATTTAGTAGATAATTAAAACTACAATTCAAGTAACCCTGAAAGTTATTCACTTCAAAAAAAAAAAAAAAAAAAAATANAAAAAAAAAAAAAAAAAAAAAAAAAAAAAAAATAGACTGAAACAAGCATTCAAAAACGAATTTTAGCAACTTACTATCGTTTATATACTAATATAAGAAAATAAATTCAATAAGTTATAAATAAATGAGTATTGACCTCACATAAGCGAGCTCCACTTCCAGACAGCCAGTTGTATCTTCTACAATTTATTATCCATTTCTCCTTTCTTTTCAAATTTGAAGGAAATCTGAACATTCGAAAGCCTTTTTTTGAACTGTTAATACAATTTACCGCCGTACAATCACCCATATCAATAATTTTAGGTATCCAAATAGCCTTAGAAAACTCTCACGCTAATACTAACATAACGTAACTTGCGAACTTGTCAGCTCCATAATGGCGGATAATTCAGCTCTCATAGTAAAACAGCCTTTAGTAACAACCAATAGTTTCGATTGAAATCGTCCAATAGGAATAGTGCAAACAAGTGGTTGCCATTCACAACCGCAAAATTACATCATTTGATTGATTTATTGCACTCAAATGATGTAGTTCAGCCTCTGACTTGGTTATCTCTATTTTACCAGTTTGGTATAAAATGTCATATATTCTATATTCTTAAAAATTAGACTAAAATGATGACCGGCCCTCGCATGCCCACAAGCCATATAAATCGCATGGTATGCCCAATTTTCTGACAGATTTCTTTTGGTTGTCACTAGAATAAAATTTATAGTTATACTTTACCTGTAAAATATTTAATTCTCCCACATTTAAAGGTATTTTCCCTTAATATTTATTTATTATCCCTTCTTTATGTCCTCGGCTATTATCACGCGTGAGTTGATTATTATTCCAAAATAAAAGCTTAGAATTAAGAGCGATATTTCTTTGTTCTAAATTTTTTTTTGTTTTTGTTTATAGGTTTTTCATACTGTTATTCAGACTTATAATTATTATAATTGTTATTCAAACCTATTATTCAGACTTATTTATAATACATTTTTGACTAGGGAAAAAGTATTTAATATATTCTTTCCTTTTTTATAGATTACTGTCAATGATGACTCCAGAATATGTGGCTGAACAAATTGTATCTGCAGTTTTAGTCAATCAAGAAGTGATAATGCTCCCTAAAGTGATGAATCTTCTAATCATGCTTAAATCGTAAGTATTATACTTTCCATATTTTATTTATGACATTGTTTTAAGGGTGTTTTTTTAAAACTCTTTTGGCTAGGAAAAAAATAACAATATAAAAAATAAAAAAAAACCACAGTTTGAGTGAAAAGAATTGATTGAAATCAACATAACTTGTACTTGCAAGACACTCTGCTATGCTTCTGAAAATAATCTATTGCTACTCAATACAGGACTCTAAATCTTCGATGCCTTATAGAAATTGGAACAATGCTTTCTATTTTTATGATGCAAACGCTTTTCTTTATTTCGGTGATAATTGACTGCTGACGTGTACAGCAAGTCGTAGACGATTTTGTGACAAAAGCATCTTGACGTGTATGGCACAACGTCTTCCTGGCGCAAGCGTTTAAAAGTGTGGGGAAAGGATCTTTCGAAGGTGTTAACCCTCATCTATCAAAAAGTATTCCAAAATCGAATCAGGTTAGCTTGTCATATATACTAGTGAGTTGATGTTTAATAATTGTAGTGATAGCAACGCCTCAATACTCCACCAGCAGAATTTTATCTGGGATAGAATTCGATGAACGGATACCACTAGTTGATTCAATACGGTTTTGCAAAAGACCGAGAGGGCTGTATTAAGTTCACCGGATTTTGAGCGCTTGTGGTGATGTCTGTATTAAATTCGCTGAGTTTTGAGCGTTTGTCGTAAGAGCTGTATTAAGCTCCTGGTTGTGTATGTAGTCTCTTCTGTGTTGCTATTAGCAATCGAATGTGTGCAAATGAGATTGAAAAGCAATAACGCGAGGAGGACGATGATGCAGTCATAAACAGCAAGTCAACTGTTCAATGTGGACCTTTCATCAAGTGGGCGCTACTTTCGGTGTAGGCGACTTCATATCATGACCGCAGGTCACCAATGTGAGAGCAAGAGCTTTCAACGATGTCAACCTTCATCTATCTAAAGGTACCCCAAAATAGAATCGAGTTAACTTGTCTTATATATTAGTGAATTGATATTTAATAATCGTACTGGTAGTTAACGCCATAAGCTGTTAGAGGGTAGAATAGGGTATCCCTTGGATTGGGCACTGAATTTAGGAGCTTTTACTGCTTATAAATTCATTTTTTTGTTTCTATCTTGATTACTACTTATTAATAAGGGAAACAAAATCGGGAAATTATGAAATCTGGGAAATGAAATGATTTCTGCGAATATATATAAAAAAAGATTGATAATGTAATTAAACTTTAAAAAAAAAAAGAAAGTCACCAGTTAGACGAGATTTTTCCACGTAGATGAAATTCATTAAAATCAATGAAAAATTTTCAGTACTTATTTTTTATTCCCTAAACAATGCAATGTTCAGTATCTTTTTCGTTGAGGTGAGTATCTTTTGAAATGTTTGATATTTTGTGCCATTTTCATAATCATCATAGTCTTAACTAGAGAGGAATAATACTATACATATAACAGCTATGATTAACTGTTATGGGCTAACGAAAATTATAAGAATACCAAGTTATTCCCAAAAAAGTATTTTTTTTTCTCCATAAGACAAAAGCGTGTTTGAAGAACAACCCCATAGATTGTTTTAACGAAATCAAAACAACAATGTAATCATGAAAATGTTTTTAAAAAAATTTTGTCATCAAATACACTGAAGTATTTTTTAGGTATATCTTTAAGCACCACCTCAAAACAAAATTTTTAAAACTCGCTATTAATATTGGTGTTGGTTGCGTTGCTTTCTATTAATTTCTAAGAATATAACATGACAAATGCTACCCTTTTAACTATACATTTCTATATATAATATTTTCCGTAGAACCATAGGATTCCGTGAAAGACTGTAAGGGGTTCCCAGTGTTAGAACTTTTTTTTTAAACCAGTAACGAGTTTTTAAACCTTTAATTATATTTACATCCAATCAATAATCAATTATTCATTTAATGTTTCGGTTGCCTATGTTAAATTATTTAAAGTAATATGCCAATAAAAAAGAAATGGCAAATATTTGTTGTAGAAAATATAATTTTTCTATGTTGAATAAATTATGAAACTAACATGTTTTTATAACACAATTCATTATTTCCCATGGCGCTTTTAAAAACAAAATAAATAAATTCATTAATAAAGAAATCTGATTTCCTAATTACCATTTTTAACTTTTATAACAGTTTTTTTTAGTTTTCATTTTGAAGAAAACAATAATTCTGCTTAATTAATTCGTTTCCAGCTTTTTTATATACACTAGATTGCTAATTTAACTGTCGGGCATAAAATCTAATTTAGATAATCAATTAAAAAAATAAGAAAATTTCATTCCTCATGAAATAGACCGGGTTCCGCAAAAAGTAGCTTGATCGTTTAGGGTTCCATAGCTGGAAGAAAAAAAAAAAGGAAGAATCTGCCTTAGAGGGCTCCATCGCTGATATAAACAATTTCATTATTCCAAAACTGATTATACATTTAAACTAAATTAGACGAATTAATCATTTTCAAACTTAAGAGTGCGTGGATGCTTAACGATTATAATTCTCAGTCTACGGATTTTAGCTAAAATAAATTACGCGGTGCAAAGGAAAAAAATGATTCGAAATATACCCCCCCNATTGCCCCCCCCCCCCAAAAAAAAAAATAATGATAATCATTTAATAAATCATTTTGAGAACTGATTTTTTTCTTAAACATTTTTTAGAAATGTGCATAATTTCATCTCGCTTATGGAAAAAATGTTATTAAAAGAATTATTAAAAGCAGATTGGTTAACTAATTATAAAATAATTTTTTTAAAAAATCTGACTTAAAGTTTCTCTATTTCGATAGTATGGAATTCCTCTAAAGGGTAGCCATTTGTTATGTATTATGTTTACTAATCTATTAAATGCTTATTAACATACTAATATGGTGATGGGTACAAATTAAATGTTCCATTTTATAGGAGCTCTCCTCCAGTTATTCTACGAATTTTGGCAACAATTTTAGATCTCGAAGATGTGATGGAAGACTTCAAAGGCAGAGCAAAGAAAGAATGAGGAGAGAACGCTTTGTTTCTTCCCTCGCACAAAATTTTTATTGACTCCGATATTTTATTTTTCGTGTCGAAGTATTTACTCATGGCGTATGAAGTCTCAAACGATTTTATATTGTTGCTCAATTCAATGATTTATAATTTTCTTTTCTATTGTCTGGAAGATTTTAAAGGCCGTTATGGTGACAAAAGTTGAGCAACAGACTGTGCCAAATGCGAGAAAAATGTTATTTACTGCTTTTTCTTTGAAATTATGAAAACGCACCTTGTAGCTTGTTTATATAGATTCTTAGTTTTATTTTAGTGTTTTAAATTTTTGAAATTATCGTGATTTTAAAGAATAAAAGTTAATTATCTTATTGGAAAAATAACCAAAGACAACATATCGAAATATTTTGAATAAAATATTTTTAAGATATTGCAATTACTTCTGGATGTATTTATCACCATTCATTTCTATATTGTCTGTATCAGTAAAGACTTTTCTCAGAAAGATACGAAATTGGAAACAGTTCTTAACATTAGGGTTAGCCAAAATAGTTTTCCTTTTCATGCTTTTGCTAAGGAAAGAATGCATGTGCAACTCCTGTTCTCTTCTTGCACAATGGATGACAAAAAAGCTTCTTTCTAATATTCTGACCTGATGGCAAAGATGTCTTCTCTAAAAACATTTTCTCTCTCAAAATCTTATTTTCCAAACTCTTTTTGTATTACGTTATGTGATAATTTTTCTTAAGTATTCATGCGCTTTCCGTTCTATTTTATTAAAAGGAATTAAGCAATTATAACTTTCTAACCTCTCCATGTGTCTGGTAGATATTTGAGATGAGACAAGTTCGTTATCGTATTCTTCCTCAGTGCTTTAAAACTCAAATATGCAAAAAAATCAGTTAGATTTTATCATCAAGAACTCCTATATGCTTAATGGGGGCTCCATTACCCTCACGTAATTATTTTTGATAAATAGTTTTGGATAAAGTTAGTTTTGAATTAGTAATTTTTAAAAAGGGTTTATTTCATATTGATAGCAGGATATTGGTTTGACGATTTTTTTACCTTTCATTCATATTTTAGTAGTTATCGCTGCTTTTTGTGGATTAACCATGCGTAGTCTCTTATTACTCATACCAGTTAATTACAAGCTATAAAAAAGGCTAACCATTTATTTCAATTTAGATGTTTTCTTCATAATTTCATTTTAATATTGAGAAGAAAGTTAAAAGAGAAAATTAAAAAAAATTTCAAAATCTTTTAAATTTTGTTAAATAAAAGTCTTTACTCTTAGCTATCGTTGGTTGATCGACTTATAAGCTAGCGCTGTTAAAATCGGAATTATTAAATATTTGATTTTAGTATTATTAGTGCTATTAAATTTGAACTAAAGCTGGTGCTTGCTTCTGCTTAAACTCTTGTATTGATATTTTTTTACTATCTTTATTTTCTTATTTTATTTCTGTCTTTACCTTCTACTAACAATGGTTTTGGGCTCTTATGAAGTTAATTGCTTTTCAGATTGTTACCAGGGAAAGCTGGTGAAGTGGCGATGCATATGCTTGAACCTGATACAATGACTGATTTTTGTGGCAGAAATAAAAAATCACATTAACACAAACTATACTTCTCAGCGTCTTAACTTGGCATCCTCGTAAGTGTTAAAGTATGTAATGTCAAAGAGCCAAAGTATATTTAATTTTTAAAAATTGCGATTGGAAATATTTATCACTGAGTGAATTTATAGATATCGCGAGTTAAAACCGTAAACTCATTTAATAATTTTAGAATTTCAGATAGATTAATGAAGCCGTTTTTCTTACAATATTCCATTTTAAATATATCGCCATGTTAATAACATTTAACGAGGTCGAAAAGCTGATGAATTTTAGCAACTCTGCAGGTGAAATTTGAGAGGGAAGTTTCAGAAAGATTTGCTTAAGATGAAAACGATACTAGTATCGCGTTTTAAACTCATTTGGCGATGATATTTTATTAATAATATGTTTTATGATTAATATTTTATTAGAGCTAGATAAATTATGATATTTTATTAATAATAATGTGTTTTAAACATTTTTTTTGGGCTATGAGGTTTGCTTATATGAAATATGATGATATTTACTTAAGATGAAAACGATAATAATACTATGTTTTAAATATTAATTTTTAACCATGAGATTGAAAAATAGTATTCTAATTTTTTTCTTCCCTTTTAAAACAAAAAGAATATCATATTATAAAAAGAAAAAAAATTGTATTCTAAATTGAATAAAAAATATTCTTTTCTGTTATGGTTAGTAAAATGCTTTTGTATTTTAATTCTTAATATGTAAAATACTAATGAAATTAAAATTTTAAGTTTTTTTTTGTACCAGCTTTGGGTTTTATTGGCTACTAAAAATTATTTTAATATTAACTAATGAGAGCGACATATTTTTATAGACAACGAGACATTTTATAGACAATCGTTCTATATTTACCCAGCATTTACATACTGCTAAGTTAAGACGAGGCGAAGTTTAGTTCATGATTAGAAAGAAAATTTGTCTTGCCTGGAAAATAAATCTATCACTATTTCTTATTTTTCTATATTCATGTTGTATTTTTGTATTTTATTTATATGAGAGCTTAAAGATATGAGATATGTTAAAATGTTTTTGTATGTCACCGATTAAGGTGATTTTTGACAGCCTTGGCACTAAAGCATCAAAATCGAAGGTTGTTGTGTCATAACGTTTAAATATAAACAAATTCTGTTTTCTCATTTTCTGTAAGAAATAAGTTAAAAAGTTGACTCAACTTAGAAATATTACTGTATATTTCACAACCTGTGTTTTGATATTAATTTCTGATACCTATGGTATGTATCATTAATTGAAAACGTAATTTTTAAATTAAAGGTTTTTAAAAAATTTTATTATTGAACTAAGAGTTTTTTTTAAATTTAAAGTTTTAATTTCAGATAAAACAATTTACTGTTTGGCCTTGCACTTTTTCGTTGACTTAATTGAAACAGAAAATTGAATAAGAGAAGCGTTCTTCATTTTTACTACTTTTTTTCATAAGTCCTGACTTCATTTTTATGTGCTTATATTAAAGACGTTGCTATATTTAAATTTAAGTTGTCGCCATTAATTATTTTATTGTTACGAATAATTTTTTTTTAAAAAGAAAAAAAAAATACTATTTTTACACAGAAATAGTTGAAAGCTGATTTTTAATTTCGTATTGAATCGCCTTCATTCCTTTTTGGCGAATTCCAGAATGAATGATCATTATAATGTAACAACACTGGACTGGTTTTGTTATACTGTCATAGGGTAGATTGAATTAAAAGTGATTTGATAATGTTTGGATTTATAACAGAAGTGTCCTTATTATTTGCGTTATTCATTTTACTATTTTACATTAAGTTATGAAAAGTAACCAATTTTTGAAAGTATAAGTTGTAAATTTATAAATTTTACGTTCCAGCACCTTTAATGGCGTGATAGTTAATGTTTTTTATTTTAAAAAAAAGCTACATTAAATTTACGTTTTGCATTAATATATTCAATCTATTTATTAAAGTACATTTTAAAATAACATCGAAAATCGTTGAAAATATATAAAGATTTCTTATGTATGACAATAAACAAACAATTTGTATGACAAACAAATGTGCATATTTTTAATTTTTTATAGCTAAGAATCGCAGATTTTAAACAATATATTATAAATTAAGCGTGATTCAACTTTCTATTTCATTCCAGGTATTTTTTAACGTTTAAAATGTTAGTAAAGACATGTTAAGTCATTTTTCATGCTTAATATAGATATATCTTTTTGAAGCAAAGATAATCCAACATTGATTGGGAAATTAAATGCCATACTCATATTGTTCATAAATTTAGCTAGTCACATATTTTACCATGTTTTCTTGGCGGTCGTTTTTGTTACTATCATGTAAATTATTTTAATTTTATTGTTAATATGTATACCCTATTAGTCACAAAAATACACAATTAGTCAACTAGTATTTGATATATTCATTTTTATAATGATTTGATAAGCATTATTAAATCTTTTTTAAAGAATTTTATTTTTAAGCTAATAATATTATGCTCCTAATACTTGATTATGCTTAATAACACGCTGCTTGATTCTTTCTAAATCTTTTTATAGTCCTTAATTCCATATGCTTCTTTATGTTTTAACTTTCATAAATTTTTAAGATAATTTCTATTACCTTAAAGGTTATAAATACATTTATTAATTTAATAAATGTATGTAAAGTCCATATTCCATATATAAATTTTTTTGCATTAATATTTGAATTGTGAAAAATACACCACATGCTAATTTAAATTTAATAATAATTATTTCTTCAAATTTATATGTATTCAGTCATTTTTCTATAGAAATATTTAATTTTCTTGTGCTGGAAAATTATTAGCTTTAAAAAAAAAAAACACACATTGGTGTTTAAATCGTCATGCAATTACACTTCTAAAAGACTAAATATTTTGGAAATAGTTCATTATGCAGTCTAGCCAAGATTTATTTTTGGTTCTTATATCTGAAATTGAAACTAGCAATTTATAAATAAAAATGAAGAAAGATAAATAAATAAACTGTTTTGTAATAAAATTTAATTGCTATCTTTGTTTTCAAATTCATTTTTTTTTTAGAATTCATTTATTTTTAAAATAATTTTTTGCTATATTTACCATACGAATTAAATGCATTACCTATTACGTGATTGTTTCCCAGCATACCTGCTTAAGAATTTATTCTCCAAAAACTAAAAAAAAACGCTTGCTTATCTAATATTTAATTGAGAAATCTTCGTAGAATAAGAAAAAGTAGATTGATAATATTAATTATCAATAATTAATTAATAATAATTTATTGATAACACTTTAACCCTGATTACAATTCTCAAAGTAACATACCTCGAAATACTATTCCTATCGAAATAATATAACTCCGAACCTATTTTTTTTTTTATTTATTATTATTTATGCATCATATATACTAGTGTTTTTCTTATAATTCACACACTTCGTTAGAGAGTTATATAAACTTATATTTAGTTATGTATCTAGTCTTTTCATTATTTTTCTGCTGAAATTTCTAATCAATACATGCTTACCAAATATTTTTGCCACCATTATGGGCAATTCTTTAGAAAGCTTTATTTTGACTACACATTCAGAGAAGATATTTTTTTATATATTCTACGATGAACATGATCCATCTTATTTTTTACTTGCTTTTATTTGTTATAGATTATATTGTAATTGTCTATATTGAATAATAAAGACTGATGCTTTATTGCTGTAATGCTTTTTTGAGTTACAATTTTCATCATTTTTACTATTATTTTATCCATTAACGTAATATTTTTGAAGTTTTTTTAATAAATAAACAATTTCAATTCAAGAAAATTTATTATTATTACGTTAAACACTTTATTTAACTCGTTGAATGCCAATCTAATTTTACGTTGGTTGCCCCCGTCTGGCCAAAATGATTTTCTCAGTATGTATTGCATTAATTTCTTCAAACCATTTTAGTAACGATAATAATATTAAAAAAATTAAAAGCATTAAAAATGTACTCGAATTATGTGTTTCTAATAATTTTGGCTTCACCGGTGACCCCTGTGGCGCTATGAACAAACTCAGTGCCGGTCACCGGTGACCCCATGGCATTCAACGTGCTAAGGAAAAGTAATGGAATTTGATGTGAAGTTTGTTTGCAATTGATTGTATTCAGAAAATATATTTGTTTTCCTAATATTTAGAGATATTAATTTTAAACATCACTAAAATGTATTAGAAATGTATTTTATTTATTTTAATTTTGTATTGCTGATTATTAATTGTACTTCGTATGCGTTATTTTTCTCGATAAATTGAAATGGCTTACAAGTTCACCAAATCATTAAATTATTAGAAAATGTAAAAATAAGTTAATTTAGATAAAATTACCGTATTTAAAGGCCCACATAGAAACAATAATTATTAATAATTGACAATAATTATCACTAGAAAGGTCCACATAGAATAAGCGACATACGATGACACTTCTCGTCAGGGGTTCCTTTGCAATTCTTAATCCTTATCATATGTCCTACTTAGGCTCCAAGCTTGTCTCATGTTTTTCGAATCACCTTGTAAAATTCCGTAAATGCTGAATGACCTTTTTAACCTTGATGAAACAATATATTTATGCAAAACGATTCATGCAAATTTTTTTTTTTTTTTTTTTTTTTNTTTTTTTTTTTTTTTTTTTTTTTTTTTTTTTTTTTTTTTTTATCTTGTTCCCAGATTACTGTTATCATAACTATTGAAAAATGACAGGAGTTTAATGTTAGCTCTTTCAGCCATAAGGATGTTTATCAATTAGATAAGATACCAGATTTTCTCTCTGTTCCTAGTTACAGACCATCACTGCTAAATATATCAAAGTCCTGTAGATGTACGCTTTTCCGGAGTTAATCCTTTTCCTGAAGTTAATATTTTTTTTTTCTCTACGTAATATTCGTTCACAATCGATCTAAATGTTATTCTAGTGATAATAGATTCTATTTTTAGCTCTTAATTTTTTCAGCAATAAATCCACTCCATATCTTCTGTAAATCTCGTTGTTATAACTTCTTGATGGATGGGTATTCAGTGGATGGTAAGCAGCAATAAATCCACCCCATCCCTTCTCTAAATCTCCTTATTATAACTTCTTGATGGATGGATATATTCAGTGGATGGTAAACAGTCATTAGTAATGAATTAACTTAATCATGATTGTTTCTTTAACCCAACCGACTTATAATTATCGGAAAGGTCTGTACAGCATTGAACCTCGATATCAGTATTTTGAACCATATTGTACTGCGTAAATCTGCTGCCTCGGTATTATTTGCATATGGTGTTTATTTGAAAGCTCAACCTTAGTATCGTGCAATCGAGTATAAAATTTATGTGCATTTTTTTTTTAATGAAAGCAGAATATTTACAAATGGTTACTTTCGAGAGACTGGAGAAATACGAATATTGAATATATTTTGTTGATCTTCTTCGAAATGATGTAGGAATGTAAAATGATTTTTTTTTACTCTCAAACTTATTCGAAATTGAAACTAAATGAGACATTTTGCACATCTTCAGACTTAAACTTACGTGGCTGCAAAAAAAAAATTTACGTTAAACTAAATGACCCGCTTCAAAAAATGAGAAAAATCATAAATTACTGCCGCTTAATAACATATTCATAGCAGAATTTTCAGTACTAATTTCTTGAAAAATGTGTTAATTTTAATCTTTTTATCTAATAATTTTTGCGTTGTGAGAATGATAAAACGTGCTCGACGAAACGTTTTTGAAACAGCAGCGGCTACGTTTTTTTTTTCTTCATATATATCAGGGTTGATTGTGCTCCGGAAAAATTCGGATTTCCGGAATTTTCGCTGACAGTGTTCCGGAGATCGAAGGTCCAGATGTTTCAAAAAATCATTGATCATAGAAGTTTCCGGAAATCAAATTTTCAAAGGTGGAACTTAAAAACACAGATTATTTTTTTGTTTGTAAGGGAGAGCCAGAGAGATACTTTATAAGCTTATATTCATGATTAATATTAATTTTTTATTAGTAAATAGTTGTTATAATCATAAACTCAAGAAAGAAAGACATTTGTAAATTTTGATTACTTCTCCAGGTCATCATAGGTATGTGTAAAATTTTAAATATATTTTAAGTAAACTAAGAAATATTGAGAAAAAAGAAGAAAAAAAACTTATTTAAATTTTTTTCAATTTAAGCTGTGTTTTTTTTTCTTACTCAAGAAATTTTCCGGAATTTTGACTTGGGCTCTCAATCACCCCTGTATATATACATTACCCTACAATAATGTAAAAGGCACTTTCAGTTCTTGACATGCTTTTTTAAATTCTTCAATAAATACTTAAAGGATTATTTTATAACTTCAGAGATGTTCATATTCGTTCGATTTTTCATACTTAGCAATAAGATTTAAAGCTTTCAGAGGTTTGAGAAATCTACAATAAATTACGAAAGAAAGCAAGTATTTTTAAACACCCTGTGCTAAAAAACCAAGCAATAAGCTTGTATCGATTACGGACATCTTTATAAAAAAGTAATTTTTTATCATACGTTTTTTGGCTATAACTTAATAAATATTCAATGGAATTAAACAAAATTTTTGGAGCAATTCAAAATTGATTACAAAATTATTGCTTCAAAATTACGAAAAAATTGTAAAAAAATGGGCTAGATAAAAGTATTTAAGGTAGTTCTTTAATACTACACATGCGCAGAAAAATTTTTAAAGTTTTTTCAAAATTTTGTAGTAAATCGCAATTGGGAAATAATGAAAAAAGTTTGATTTGAATATCTTTGATTGAAAAATTTAAAAACTGTCAAGCAATTTTCAAAGTAGTTTTGAACTTTTTAAAAGAAACTCAAAATGATAAGAGGCTTTCCACGAATTTTATTTTGTACTATTAAACAAGATTTATTTAACCATGAGACCGGCATTTTGGGGATCATCCCCTATAAAATTATGTTTTCTTTCCTTTTACTGTTTAATTTGCTTTCCGAACGATTATTGTAAGACTTCATCATTTGCCAATTAATTTTGTTTCATGCAAAATAAAGTTTGTGGAAAACCCCTGATCGTTTTGAGCATTTTTTTAAAATAGTTCAAAAACTACGTAGAAAATAGCTTGAAACTTTTTAAATATTTACGATATTCTTATCATTTTTTTTTCATTAGTTGCCAAATACGATTTATTACAAAATAATGAAAAAACTGTTATAAATTTTTTCTGTATAAGAGAAATACCTTAAATGCTTTTATCTTGCGCAGTTTTTGACAATTTTTTCCAAAATTTTAAATCAATAATTTTGTAATTAATTTTAAATTACTCCAAAAATTTTGCTTAATTCCATTGAATATGTATAAAGTTATAATGAAAAAATGTAAGGCGAAAAAATTAATTTTTTGTAAAAATGGCCATATCTCCATAAATATTTTCTCTAGGTTAACGAAATTTTATGCTGTTATTAAATATGACAACTAAAGTAATCAATACAAGCTTATTGCTTGATTTTTTAGCTCAGGGTGTTCAAAAATACTTGTTTTTTTCCCCATAATTTATTGTAGGTTTCTCAAACCTCTGAAAAACTTACAATTTTCTTAAACCTCTGAAGGTCGTCGGGCTATCGAAGTGGGGGTGCCATTCCTTCTGCAGAGGATCAAAATTGTGATTGCATGTCTTTGGATCATCCTCAGGGATGTTTCCCAGACCGTCGCCAATAGCCCATTGTGCACCTCTAGTGCGACGTAAATGAACTACAACAACTCAAACCTGTGAAAGCTTTAAATCTTACTGTTAAGTATGAAAAATCGCATGAACTTACGCACCTCTAAAATTACAAAATAATCCTTTAAGTATTTTTTGGGAAATTTTTAAAAAAATGTTAAAAACTGAGTGTCTTTTCTATTATTATAGGGTAGTGTATAAAGAGAAATATTTATGTTTAAAAAAAGAAAAAAACTAAGTTAATTTGCTTGATGCTCTTCTAAAAAAAAGTTAAGCTTTTGTGGAAAGCCCTAAATATTTCTTTATAGACCAAAAAAAAAAAAAAAAAAAACTAATTTTCATACACCTACTACACACATTTAAGTATTTCTTTCCAAATTATTAATATGCTTTTATTGTTATTATTTTTAAAAATGCATACATATTTCGATTCCAGTTCACATATGTTGGTAATGTCTATAAATTTTCTACCTTGATTTTAAATCCTGAATTTCACTTACTTTAATACTAAGTTATAGATATTTCGACTTTCTTTTTTCTAATGAGGCGCCTTACTGTGCGAAATGAAATATTTAATCAGTTCTCACAGTAAGAATTTAATTCGGAATACTACATGCATATATTTTTAGCATTTTCCTTATCTGTATATGTCGAGTATTCAAATAAGAGGGCATCGCCCTATGTGGTTATTCTGCTTTTAGAACTTATGTGTTGACAATTCGATATTTTTTTTCCGTTGTAACACTTCATGCAAAGTAACATGTTACAACTATTGCGATGTAATGTAAATAAAGAGGTCCCGGTACTCAATTTACATTTAAACGCGTAGTGAAAATATCCAATTCTATTTAAAATGGTATGGAAATCTTGAAAAGTGCGTGTACCAATGAGAGACCGAAGAAGGAATTCTAGTATAATAAATTTATTTTGCTTTTTTTCTTCTTATGTCGATGGAATAGCTTTATTTTTCCTGTCCGACAAAATTAAGATAAATAATTAT